CAGGGTAGCCTAATTAAAATAGTCCACCTGAAATATTTTCCTAGGAAAAGTTTTTTTGGGAAATCCCCGAGACCGGTCGGTTTTGATTTCAAGGGGACCTTTTTTTTTATATTTAATTCGTGGATGTAGGTTTATTGCCCTAGTGTGGCAACCCCTTCAAGAATACTAAATGGCAAGAGTGCTTAAATGACATTTTTTTTGTTCTGTGTTAAAATTAATGTAAAACACCTGTATGGAGTGTCGGTGAAATATATCGAAGAAAAAAGTTTTAATTATTCAAATGCTTAAATTCCGACCCATTTACTTCCATGCAATATTAAAGTCTTTGTTAAACATGTTCCCGAATATTTCTGAGCATTTCTGGGATTATTTATGCACATGCTTGCACTATTCGGTGGCGAAGATCTTCTATAGATGTAGGTTTCATCTTATAAACAACACTTTTTAAATAACTCCACAAGAAAAAATCCAATGGTGATAGATCTAGCGATCTTGGGGGCCATTCAATGAAACCCCATCCTGTTGATTAAATACATTATTTTCTGGGATCTGAATGTCGTTTTCGAGAACCTCCACAATGCGAGGGTAGAACAAGTCCTCAAGCAAATTGAGGTAAGACTCACCCGTCAAGTTACCAGGTAGAAAAAAGGAATCAATAATATTATTGATCAAAATCCTAGCCCATACATTCAACTATTTTGGATATTATGAATGCTGTTCTCTCATAATTCGTCGATATCACTCCAGTATCTGCAATTATTACTGTTGACGTTACCATTAAGAAAGATTGTGCAGTCGTCAGAAAAGCATGTAAAGTATAAAAAAATTAGGATTATTTAAAACTCTTTCAACCATCTTCTCACAAAATTGTATACGGCGATCTGAATCATAATAGGGATTGAATTAATGCTTTTTTTAATTTTCTGAAGGCTACTACGTAGAATTCCTGAAGTTGCTGCTACTTTTCTGGTGCTTGAAGCAGGATCCTGTTTAACATGACCCAAAATTATAACCTGTACAGCCTCGTTAGTAATAGTGGTGTGATCATTCGAATGGTAATTCATTCGAATATTCGATTATTACTATCATTAAAATTAATTCGATTATATCAATATCATTCGAGTCATTGGAAATGTCTGAAATTGTAATAAACGAACGAGAGTCACTTGGGAACCTATTTTAAAAGTACTCATTAATCTCAAGATTTTCATGAGAAATGTCATACATCAACCTGGAAATAATATTTTTAAAACCAGTTAGAAGTGACTGTTTCTCTCAGTTTTTTCGGGAGAATTAATATTCTCCTGCATATAGAGGAACTAACACATCAAATTTCAAAGGAAGGGCGCTTGTTTAGCATGCAAAGATGTCTGGGTTCGATTTCTGTCTGCAACACGCTTTTTTTTAATCTCCAAGTATTTTTTTTCAATTTGAGGTTCGGAGATGGTCTTGTTAATTCGGATGATTTTTGAGATTTGTTTCCGAATTTTCAAATTATTTTCAGTCACTTATTTTAGATATTTCGATGTGCAATTTACGATTATCATAACTTCACAATTTTCTATTTTTTCTACCCGAAAATACCTTGTTGACAGATTTTTTCGCAACCCTATAGAATCTAGTCGTGTTATTTTTATGTGTTCTGAATCCGGTTGATTGCTCAAATATTCTAGTACACCCTGTTTATAATTTTGTTGTGCACATTATTTGATATTAAAACTACAATTTTCCAATCGATGTTATAAAATACTAATTATTGCACCATTTGAACCCATCAGCGTAACAAAATGTGTTTACCAATTTGTTTGGAAACAAACTAATTTTAAATAATTATGCCTTTATCACAATTTTTAATAACAATTTCAAATGTTATGACTTTGCCCATGTTATTTTTCCATAATTATTGTAATAAATAATAACAATTTTATTGAATTCTGTATTTATTGCATTACTGATATAATTACAAAATATCCTATTTATATATCTAAATGCATTTTCCAGGAAGTTAGTGGAAATTACGTTTAATAAATATTTTGTATGTTGTATTTACTTTTAATGTTATTTAACATATTTGCAAAATCATTTCTATAATTAACCTGTAACTTAATAGGAAAATTTGATCCATTTAAATTACATATATGACTTTCTTTATCTTTTACATTGATCTTTGCATATATTTATATCTCTCCAATAAAACTAACACCAATCCTAGAGGTCGCTGATGTTGTTGGATTTTTGACGTCGACGTATGGATTAGAACTGACAATGTTATGAATATTGTTATGAACGTGTGCATTTTATAAAATTAATTTAATTTGGACCTCGTTTATTTCGTTGAGTCTGATTTTGTTGTTTAATTAATTTTGTTTGGGGGGGGGGGATGTTTATTTTCGTATATAATTTTTTGCATGAAGCAATTTCTGGAACCACACTCGCGTTTTTGTACACATTTCTTTCTAGAGGTAAGAAATTTCCAATTTATTAAGAAAACCACTGTATAATGTGTGTGGTTAATAAAATATTACAAAATGGCTATAATTATTTTAGGTGAATTGGAACAGAGATCCATTGTTACAGCTACTTTTGTTCATTAAGTAGGTAGATGAATGTCTCGACAGCTTTCATGGCAGCACAAAGGTCCCACCTACTACAAAAGAAGTAAAATGTATGCTGAATAAAAAATCTCTGCACATGTAGTATTGGCAAAGGACTTTTGAAATGATTAGAGATTGGCTATTTCTTACATACACCTACCTCTAATAGCCACTCTAGGGGCTATTAGAAGATTGTAGAGTCATTTAAACGAAGAAAAAAATTGAATCACAAAAGGGCAGAATTTTAAATCAGGATGCATTGGAAAATAAATTTTGGGGACATCAGGTCGGTTTTGGATTTTAGAGAGAGATCAATCCCAAGAAAATTGAATTTATCCTGCAGAACAACCAGTAGTTTAAGCAGGATCTGCTATAACTTTCTTAGAAGATTTCCTTGATAATATACTATATTATTTCAAATGAAATTGAAAAAGAGTTAAATTCGAAATTAGATTTTTCATGGGTAAAATATTATATTCATTCAAACATCGTAAGGTAATATTTAATTAAGGGAGTATGGAAAAAAGGTATACCCTGGTAAGGGACAACGACAAAAAAAATTACAAAAATGTATTCATCTTTAAATAGTGTTTATTATTAATATTATTATTTGCTGTTTGAAAAGTACCTCCTGTTGCAGAGCAGATCGAATAGATTAGACGACTAGTTGGAGAAGGTCCACCTAGTCACCAAATTAGGAGACTAGGAAAACTTTTACATGACTGGGACACAACAGGAATGCACACGCACAAGATACACAAACAGACGACATAACAGGGGTAGGCCTTCAGCAACGTCCTGTTTAAACGATGATAGTATGCCATCCTTCATTCCCTCTTAGAAGGCATGGCATATAAATCTATTGATCTTGATGACCCTAAGAGGAGTTAGCAGGGGGTGTACGGAATGGGTCTAGCAGGTTTCGATCCAGTTTACAGGATGGCAACTTACTCGACTCGGGCCTTATACATTTGCGTGAGTGTATGTGTGTGTTTGTTTCGTTTCCATGGTTTCTATTAAAATAAACAGTCATAACATATCGATACCTTTTTGCCAGACTAACGTAAGTGACATTTGTTCAAATGGCACTTATGATAGTCTAGCAAAAAGGTATCGATATACTCTATACTTTATAAAATATTTGTTACATTATTTTTAAATAATATGTTATGAAAATATAACAACTGCGACTTTCTTTGTAATTTGTCACGAAATGATACGGGGTACTTTCTAAATGTAGCAATTGTAGTTTTTTTTCTGTACATTACAAATATAATTTATAGAAAAAGAGTTTTTCCAATTTTAAATATTTAATAATCAATAGAAATTTCAAGTTTTTTTAACGAAATTTACAAGAGTAATAAAAACTATGTTCACTGCTTATATTAAACTGGTTACCTTTATTAAAATGATTATTTATATGATAAAAAATTTGATGTTTTGAAAGCTTTTATATTTTTTAATATACAGTGAAACAATAGTTTCTGTTTCTCCTGTAAATTTGTATAGAAAAACTATTTATTTCTGAATCTATGTTTGAATTTCCCGCCCTAAAGCATTTTTAAATTTTCCCGTTATTTACTAGTGACGCCATCATAGACTGGTTGTGGTTACAATCGCCCAAACAAACTATACCGAACAAAAAAATACATTGAGTTACACGTCTCGCTGGGTTGTGTCTGTATCTACTAAATGTTTTAAATGACAAGCAAGCCATAAATGGACGTGATTATACAGGACATCCAAAAACTCTTCTGCCATTTTATGTGGAGTTAATCTAAATAAACCTTGCAAAATGTCCCCCCTCCCCAAGTGAGATGCTTGCCATTGCTGTAGAGAACTCGTATTTACAGTGGACGATGTCATAGTGCAAAGTTTTTTATTTTTGGTTAACAGATTTTTTGAGATATTTAAAAAACTGACTTGAAGATGCCATCTTCAGACGAACAACTCTTATGGAAGAATTTTTTGGATTTAGGTTATTTAGGTTAAATCACGTTTAGGATCTGGGGTTTCCGTTTGGCAGAATGTTTCTTGGATACCCTTTATAGCAGTGGCGGCTCGTGCCTTAGCATATAGGTGGAACTACGGATTAACATTTTCGGGTGCCTAGCCCAGATTTTGACTCGAAGTCGTTAAAAAACATATCTTGGGTAATATTTTAAAGTATATTAACGTGCGCATTTATTATTTTGTATAACACAAAAAACTTACCAGAATTTAGCTTTGAATAGTAATTTATTGCACTCCAAACCTATACAGTAAAATAAAGAATATTTTACAGAGAACGATATTTGAAGTCTAGTCTTCGTTCTGTTTTATTAGCGAAAATGTCAATTACTCATCTATTAAAGTCGTCAATGTTATTTAGAAACACTTTTTCAGCTGATAACATTCCTAGCGCACTTAGTCTTTCTTCTTTAATGAGTTGCGTAAAAAAGTTTTTATCCTCTTTAACATAGAGAAACATCTTTCAGCTTCGGATGTTGACATAGATGTTGTCACTGAAACTTCCAGTAATTTAATAGTTTCTTGAAAAGTGTACTTCATATCTTCCTGCGAAACGAATGATAATAGAAGAATGACTCTAGAAATGGTTTGCAACTCTTCTCTTTCGTAAAGTATTTGCAGTTCTGCTTTTAGACGATTTTTTTCTAGAAATTGATATACGTTAACTGTATCAGAGAGCAATTGATCAGGAAAGTTTTTTTGGTATTCGATAAAAAGTTCTTTCATGAATAATGCGGTAGCTAACAGATGTCCTGTGAAAGTGAATCGTGTCCTAATCTGTTGTATAATGGAATCGCAAACTTCCAAGGCTTCTATTTTTTTATTTGTTGAAACAGATAGATCGGAACGAGGGTAACGTCGCCTTTTCTTAGGAAAAAGTTCATCTTCGGTTTCTAAAAGCTCCGAGTCTATTTTGTCAATAATTTTATCTATTTCATTACGAATTTTTTGCATTGCATTTTCAAAGTTTTTTAGATTTTGTTTAGCCTTGATAGGGTCGGTATTAACCGTCTGCAGTTGCTTAAAAATTATTTTGACATGTGGCATGACTTTATGAAAAACTATTGATCAAAATATGAAATATCTGTCCTGTAATCTAAGTTTATAAGCACCGGCTTGCTCAATCGTAGAATTTAATTTAATATCTTTATCGTTCTCTAAAATATCCATAAAATGTATCACTTCATTTCGGTATTCATACATTGTATTAACTCCCCCTGATTGGAAATTCCATCTCATTTGTGATGAGAGTGATAATCGTCTATGAACTATATCATCTAATACTTTTGTATTTTGAAGCACAAATTCCTGTTAAATAAGCGAAAAAATCCGAACAGACGCATTAATTGAACCTGCACTGCTCATTATAAGGTTAATCTGATGTGCATTGCAAAGAAAATAATTTGCTAAAGAATATTTATCTTTAATTATTTTTTGTATCCCATTCATACCTCCGCTCATGACTAACGCTCCGTCGTAACTCTGCGCGATCAACTTATTTGGTGTGTCATTAATTAATGGATTAATTTCATTTAAAATGCAATTTGCTATTGAAATGACATTGTGTCCGGGAGGATTTACAAATTTCCAAAATCTTTCTACTGGCTTACTGGAGGCAATGTATTGTAGAATAATGACCAATTGAAATTCGTTAGCAACATCGGTAGTTTCGTCAGCAATTACAGCTACATAATTCGTTTTTTTATTTCTTTAGCCACTTCTTCATGGTAAACGCCAAGCATGCAGTCCAATAGTTCGTTCTGTATGGTCTTAGAGTTCTCTTTAAATACTGTTGCTTTGTTCAAATGTTCCTTTAAATCTGCATCTAATTCAGAACTAAATTCTATCAATTCTTGGAACGCTCCTTTATTTTTGGATTCTTCGGTTTCATTATATCCGCGCAATTTATTATACTTTAAAAACTCAAGTATTCTAACTACTTAACAAACAAAAATTTAGCACGCATAAAATGTCAAAAGCAATACGCCGAACTCGCCGAACATGCGACTGAAACAATATTATTCTAACTATTCATTATGAGCTGCTTGAAACAGGGCCCCGTTTGAATGTATAAGAAGCGCTTTCTACAGGCGAATGGCGTGACCTTTAGTAAACTTTTACAATGGATTGATATGTAAGCAACCGGGCCACTGGTCGATGCGCTCGGATAGACGGCGGACAGTCAATTTATTGAATTATTAGCCATAATTTGATCCGACAAATGTAATAATTATTGTAATTAATATAAAAATAAATATTGTTAGAGACCGAAATATTTACAAATTTTGTGCCATTGCCAAGGCCCTTTGGCCCCTTAGGACAAGCCGCCACTGCTTTATAGGATGAGTGGCTTTTTGCGTCATTTTCTCTACAATCATGTGTATTTTTCTTATTCACTTTGATCTGTTTTGTGCAATTTCAATCCAATTTATCCTCATATCACTAACAGTATATCAGTAACAGTATAACATTATTTTTCTTGATCTGCCTGTCTTAATTCTTACATGCATTTTTGCATCAAACAGGGTCAAGAAATCCCATTGGAACAATAAGAGATATTGATAAAATCCCAATATTTTAAAATAAAATTTAATTGAAAATCAAACAGCTTTTCCAGAAGGTGTTATTTTCTTCTTCTCTTAATATGTCTAAAACCCTAAGTCTATTGTCCCTTGATTAGTATGCTACACCTTTTCATTCTTATTTTTAGGATCCCTCAATTTTTACGGTACTTACATGCCAATCGGACAAAAAAGGAACAGCTATAGCAGACTTCGTTATATTCCCTCCGAGATGGTCAGTTCAAGAACACACATTTAGACCACCTTACTATCATCGAAACTGCATGTCCGAATTTATGGGCCTAATTTTGGGAGAATACGAAGCTAAAATAGGAGGATTGTCTCCTGGAGGAGCAACGTTACATAGCATTATGACTCCTCATGGCCCTGATGCGAACTGCTTCGAAGCTGCGTCAAATGAATCGTTAAAACCGACAAGAATTGCTGATAAAACACAGGTTAGTATAATGTCAGCTAAAAAACGTAAACAGTGAGATTTGAAATAAATACTACCAAATAAGTAGTTATTCGTGTACTAAGAGCACAAAGTCGTTCATTGCATTAGAAAGATCGTAGAATATGTTATTTATTGGATACTTTACAAACACTATAAAAAATTAATAGTAGTTACATGTATGGTTAAGTAACAACAAGAAATTTAGAAACAAAAACAAAACAACCTAAATATCTAATGAACTTAATTTAGTTCTCAACTTTCTTAGCCTAACATTAAAAACTTATATCTGTTTGGACCTCGCTAAGAAACTCATTTTGATAAATGAAGATTTGCTACTAAATAATTTTTTGTTACTTGGGATTATTCTTAGATTAATCTTTGGCACATTAATACTTATATAGTTTATCAAATCACAATCTTTGCACTTAATATTATTTAAAATAGATTACAAATATATCACAGCCTGTTGTTTTCTTCTCTGTGAGAGAGATTTAAATTTAAAGCTATCGAGCATAGTCATATATCGTTCATTTTTAACAAGAGGGTTATATCTCAAAAACAATAATTTTACAAAACAGCAAATTTAAATAATTTGGTAAGTCTAAAAACATTTGCTCTCTGGTGCTATTAAGCTAACTTGTTCCCTTTTCCCTATAAAACATGAGATGATTTTAAATAGATTCTTGTTGAATATTCAATATTTAAGGTTTTTTGAGATGTAGCCCTTTTCCTCCAAATGAACGATATGAGATCTTATCAGGGTATGAATTTTTATTATGGCATAAAGGTATCTTAAAAAATAATGCTTTGGGTTCATTCTATACATTAAAAATCAAGTTAATGACATTTTTTTAATTATCTACGAAAGATGGCAAATCTTACGAAACTTCTTTAATAAATTATACCAATTATTTGAAGTATACAGGATGATTCCTAAGTTGATACTATTTTTTTAACTATGTATAGAAGTCATAAACATTTTAAAATGCCTTTCTTCAAAAAACTCAAATATAAGAAAGATACAGAATTAAAAAGTCAATATCCGTGTATCAAAAAGTATTCTGATAACGATAAGTCTGTTTATGATTATCTGTTTTCATTTTTAATCACGCAGACTACCTATCATTAGCATGGCTCGCATAAGGGTGGGGCTGGGTGGAATCCAGTGACAGACCTAATTAAAGAACAATTCCTTGTGAAATTTAAGGAAAGATTGGATGAATTTAGGAAACTACAGAGTTGACAAGTAGCTTTTAAGTTATATTGACAATATTAAAGCAAACAAAATACTTGGCCATGACTAGACAGAATCTGCACCTGATCACAGGCATTATTCTGACGTCATTGTCAAGTACGGAAGCATCTCCATATCAAGGGGCTATCAGAATCCGTACTCTGTAGGGGATGCGAATAAGAATATCCTCTAAGATTGTCCGACGCTTTCATTTATGAGAAGAATTATGTTCGGCGAGTATTGGCTAACATCGACCGATATAAGTGAAGCACTTCTTGATGAAGTTGTCAGTTACATTAAATCTGTAGGCTGGCTCACGAGCTAGGAAAAGCCTATCATCTTGGGAAGATGCACAATGGGCCTAGTGAGTTAGAAGTGCCATAGGGTAACCTACCCTCCACACATTTCAGATACAGATACAGAACTTTGCGTAGGGCTGGACCCGTCCCAAGGGTCCACCCAGTTCCATCCTTGTGGGAGCCATGTTACTGCTAACGAGTGTGAGAGAGGCTTTGCAAAGATAAAGGGACATGCTGTTTTAACAATTCCTTAATAATTCCCAACGACCAGTGCTGTTAGAGAACAAAGAATAAAAACTTTCATTTCTAATAATTGTCAGAACAATATGAATCAATTTAGCAGCATTAACTGTAGAATCTTCTAAAATTTCATTTGATAAAAAAATTTTAAAATATTTTTTCTAATTTATATTAAATTATAAAATATCATTGCGTATCATTCCAGTATTTGTTTGCTGTAGTATTGTCAAAGTAACTTAAAAGCTACCTGACAACTCTGCAATTTCCTGTTTCATCCCATCTTTCCTTGAATTTTACAAGGGAATGTTCTTTAATTAACTCTGTCACTACCGATAATATCAATCCAATAGAAGGGTCAAGTCCAAAAAGCATTTGGTTGGCTGCCTTCTTGGCTAGTGAATCAGACAGACGGCTACATTTCTATGCAGCGTGAATGACTTTCATGGCTCTGGTTGGTGTAATTTTCATGGCTTCTGTTATGTAGAGACTTGCTGTTCTTTGAATTTGTTCTAGTTGCGGATAGCTGTAAATTTTTGGGTTTTTGGTATCCAGACAACTGCACCGTATATTAGCTTATCTCTTTTGATAGCCGTGTAAGTCCATGTGTAAGAACACTGGCAAACCAAAATGGAGTAAAACTATTTTGGGTGCCAGGTCACCAAGGGATCGAAGGCAACGAAAAGGCTGATGAACTTGCAAAAAGAGGGTCAGAAGAAACAACCACAAAAAAACCCAGGAGTACCAAAAAGTACAGTCCGGGGTTTCATAAACGACTGGATTCGGAAACAACATATCAACTAAAGGGAAGCACCCCAAAACAGGCACATGGAAAAGCCTTCACAGGCAGACTATGTCCCAAAAGAACTGGATAACTACTCTTTATGAATAGGAACCAGTTGAAAGTGACAACAGGGTTCATGACTGGGCAAGCCCCAGTAAAGGGACGCTTGAACAAAATTGGCATGTACAATGGGGAACTCATGTGCCGACTATGTCATAAGAAACCAGAAACGGCCAAACACATACTGTGCGAATGCGAAGCTCTAGATCGCAAAAGACAGGTTCTTTTTGGACAACCCCAGGTTGATCCAACAACGTATAGAACTCACTCACTCAAGGATCTGTACAAACTTGTACAAGGTACAAAGGTGACAGAGTGGTTGCTATGAACTAACATGGGGTAAAACACAATAAGCCAATAGGCTTCAGTGTTATTCGGAGACATAGTCAGACGAGCCCAGGGAAAAAAAGCCCCTGTGATGGCTCTAGGAGAGAAACCTTAGGAGCGCCCCACGGTTCTGCGGCATTGTTGATAAGCAATGTATGATCTTTTGAATGTTTTCTAAGTATGAATTCCTAGTTAACTTGCTGTCAAAAGTGAGACCTAGGTACCGCTGTTGCAAAGTTCAGTTTTGTGTTTAGAAGCTGTAGAGGTTCTAATTCCATTTTCATCATTTCCCTTGTGAAAAGGACCTTTCTGTCTACTTAAGATTGATAGACAGTGAATGGTCCTTGCACCACTGTTCTATAATTTTGAGAGCTACTTGCATTCTTTCTCAAAATTCCGTGTTTGCAGAATGACCAGGTCATCTGCATACGCTATTGTGTAGTGACTGTCATTATTGAGTCGGCTAATGAGGGTATCGAGAACCATGTTCCACCGTAGAGGTGATAGCACCCCTCTCTATGTACGTCTTCTCGCAATCAAGCCTTTTATATTCACATCTTCTATACTTGTTTACTGCTTGTTTTGATAGCATGTTTATTATGTATCCAACCACTAACAATCTGTGGAACATTCCTCTTGGTTAGTAAGTGTATTATCTTGGGGAAGGTGGTTTTATCAAAAGCACCTTCTATGTCTATAAAACACCCAAGGTGAACTACTTATTGTCCAGGGATCTTTCTAACCGGCCAGCAACTAGGTAAAGGGCTGAACCAGTAAATCTGCCTGGGATGTATGCATGTTGATTTGGTTGTAGTGGTGTTGTAATCACCACATTCCTTATGTACCTTTCGCACAGCCTTTCCAATGTCTTCATGGAAAACGTTGTCAGACTAATTGGGTGGTATGTTTTTGAAACATCCTTCCAGGTTTGGGTATGAAGACCACTTTTACCGTCCTCTGTTTTGTGGGGATATACCTCAGAGCCAACGAGGATCTGAATATACCTACCAGGTGCGATGTGGGTTCTTCTAGAGCCCTCTGAAGTAGGACTGGATAGATATCGTCAGGTCCTGGTGATTTAAATGGAGAAAAGCTAGATATTGCCCATCTAATTTTGTCATCGTCTACAATGTATTTAGCAGTTTACCAATCATAGACAGATGGGTTGTATTCTTCTTCTGCCTAGTCGATTACGACTGTGATTATAGAGTCAAGAAAGTGTGTTGACAGCAGAAGTTTGATGCTATTTTCGAGGTTAGCAGTTTTCATGCTATACTCTTTGATTAGCGCACCAATGCTGCAGTATCAATCTCTTTAGAGAGCTTTTAAAAGTCTCGCTGTGTGCGGGAAATATTTGATTTCTTCGCAGTAGGATCTCCATGCATCTCTCTGTTTTGTCTAACGATTTTTTTGTATTTTCTGAGGTGAGATTTATGAATATTAAATATTATTTTATCATTTCCTAGCCATCTTTGCAATGTTATTATGTTACTATAATTTAATATAAACTAGAAAAAATATTTTGAATATTTTTTTATCAACTGAAATTTTAGAAGATTCTACATCTAATGCTGCTAAACTGAATCATGATGTTCTGACATTTTTTGAAAACGAAAGTTTTTATTCTTTGTTCTCTAGCAGCCCTGGTCGCTGAAAATTGTTAAATCAACATATCCCTTTATATTTGTAAAGCCTTCTCAAACTTGTTGGAGTGAAAGAACAATAATTGTGAAGCACTATCCTTCGACTCTCAAAGCCTTTGTAGCGCTGGTCTTACTGCTACTAAATAAAAATGTGTATATAACTAAAATTTATTCAGTCATCGAAAAATATAATAATATAAAAACAAAGGTTGTCTGTCTGGCGTTCGTCGTTGTCTCGTAGTTGTTGATTCTTCAATCTTGTTTTTTTGTTTTTTATATCCCCTTCCCCAGAGATAAGGGAGATAATCTCTGCCCTTCCCAACCGTAATCAAGGTTCAGCGGGAAAATAGGATGCACAAAAGTTATTGACCATAAATGAATTAAAACATGACGTCAGTTCCTGCCATTGCCAATTGACTAACCTCAAAAATGTCGACCTAACAGTCTCAAATAAAAATGACATAAAAGTCAAAGTAAAAGTAAGTTTATGCAGAAATGATCCAATCCACAAATCTACCGGAAATAACTATTCGATATGTTACAGTCCAAAGTTATATTCTGCTGAAACTATCCAACAATTTAGAATGATATTAATCATGAAAATCATAAATACTCGCTATAATATTTTATTTTCTTGGCGTAGACAATTTATCTTTGACATAATTTTTCTCAAAATATAGCTTGGGTGGATTGAATCATTTCTGCATAACTACGTCCAATTATGTCGCAGAATTTTATTTTCATTTTTAAATATTAAAAAAACCAAACCAGAATGGAGATGAATGCTTCAGTTTGGAGAAACCAAAAACAATATTTAGCTTAAACATTTAAAAATTTATAAAATCATGACTAGACAGATTAAAAATTAAAATTGGTGAAATAATGAATTGAATTTTTTTAAAGAGATTGCAAATAATAAAGACAGCCTAAGTACCAACCATCTATAAAAAAGATAGCTATCTATAACAGGTATAGTTAAACCAGAGATCTAGTAACTACCATATAAAACAGCAGGTAATTTACTTATCAGCAGGCGGCCGTCTCTACGCAGAGATGTACCTATTCTAGCCATTAGGTTTTGTTCTATGGGTCAATAATTGGGGTAAAATAAATATTAAGAACAATCGCTATAATTCAAAATTGTTTATTTAATTATGCAGTGTGTACAAAAAGTAACGAGGTAACTTGGTAAAAGCAAAAAGTTTATGCTTCTGAAACAATTGTCGATTTTGAATTACTCAGATAAGTATTTTTATTAATATAGTAGAGTTTTTACATTTTATTTTTTAATATTTTATTTATTTAAACAAATTTAAACAAAATTACTCACGAAGTTTAGTTTCACTTTCACTATCGTCATCCAAATTAATAATGAACCTTTCTCTTGGTATCTTTTCTATATCAATATATGTCTTTTCCACCTTTTTTATATGGGAAACACACTTGGTCCAGCTGCTATCAGGAATTTTTTAATAAGAGCTACCACAGTCGAACTTACGGTTGGAGAAGTATTATTTCTTCGAACTGCTGACTTAAGCTGACGCCATATATATTCAATTGGGTTAAACATACAGTGGTAAGGAGGAAGTCTGATCACCGTATGTCCCAAGCTCTCAGCTAATGCATCACAAAAACTTCCAGTAACTGCTTTTTTGTGTACTTTTCCTCAAAGTACAAATCATTGTTTACCATGTAATCTTGTATGATGGCTTTTATGTCGACTATAACACTGTTGGGTGGAATATTTGGCAGAAGTTCAGTTTGGAACCAATCTTCAAATAATTCGGCAGTAGTGTCGTCATGGTAATCAACTAAGGAGTCCTTAATATTTTTTTTGCTGATAACGACAACGCATTAGGTATAAAACCATTATTGGTTTCTGCGTGTATTATAGTAATACCTTTGCCTTTATTATGTGGCGCATTAGTCGGGCACAAGTCAGATGAGTCTACCCAACGTTTGTTTGGAATATCGTGTGTATCGAACCAAGTTTCATCCAAATACACAACTGTTCTGCCAGCTTCTCTAAAATCATTTATCGCCAATAATTATTGAAATCTCCATTGCTTAAGGCGCACAGATTCCATTATGACTTTTTTGCTGTTTTTTAAATTTAAACCCGTTTCTTAAAAGAGACTTACTTAAAGTCTCTTTGCTACACTGGATGCCAGTTTCATCCTTTTCAAGTCGTTGCATCAATATATCTAGTGTAGGCACAATTTGCTCTCTATACAAGTCATATATTTTCCTTCGAATTAGGTCTACATCACAGCCATCTAGTTTCTTTGAACTACCAGAGTCTTTTCTTTTCCTTCTTTTTAAAATAGGGTTACTTACTATTTTAAATACTGTAGAATACGGCGTTTTCGTTAAAGAGACAGTTTCTCCCGCTGCCTGAGTCTTGGTCATTCCACGTTCCATAAAGGAGATACAAACACTTAAATTTTTTTCCCATCAACGTGTAAAACTTGTCGATTAGTGATATTACCACCACCAGTTGAAGTACTGGCTGTAGGATCAACCCATGGATGGAACATTTTTCACTACATAAAATTTTTAAGGCACTTCGAAATAAACGCAACTGACACAACGGAATATTCTTTAATGACTGAATTTAGTTTAAACTACTATCCTCCTTTCGTTTCTAAAAACGGTAATTGGTCAGTTCTCAAAACAGTTAACATACTAACTAACTACCCATTATTTATTTAACTTTCTCTAATCTGTCTGGAATTATAGGACTCGATATCTTAAACAATTGTATTCTTGTCTTCAAAGTCTGGTAATTTATTTGTCGCTATTTATCGCTATTTATCGCTAATCTCCTTAATAGACGTTTAGTACAGAAAGTCAGGTGGTCAGGCAAGTAAATTTTATTTATAAGTACTTTAAATTCTAGGAAATTTTTTATTATAAAAATAGTTTTACATTCAAAACTGTTAACAATTGAAATAGAGAGCCCTCAATTATAATATTATTAAAAAAACATATTCTTTACTATTTCATGAGAATATATATTTTAGGCCGGACCTGCGAACCTTTTAACCAACAGACTTTATCGCTTATCTACAAATCGAACAATAGTGATAATGAAGTTCGTCGGCTAATATGATTTATGAGAGTCACTAGATCTTTGGTTTTACTATACCTATCTGTCTATTAAATGAATGAATGAATGAATGTTTTCTTGTATAAATAAATTATTTAGGTAATTATGATTAACAATTCCGATGCATTGTTATATAAGTTAATGTGAGTTTTTATTTAAAAAAAAAGAACTATTTGATATTGTTATTTATTTTAATATCTTCTATATACAGTTTAAAAAGAAATATCAGCTCTCTGTATGAAGTATGACACACTAAATTGTATTTGTTTTTAGGCATTTATGTTCGAAAGTTGTTTAGGATTGGCTTTGACTAAATGGGGAGCAAAAACGTGCGAAAAAATAAACCCAGATTACCACAAATGTTGGCAGAATCTCAAGAAGCAATTTACTGGTCCTAAAAAATTGTGATGTCTATAATCATAAAATTTTAATGTAATGTCTTTTTATTATATTTGTATTCCTGAGAATATGTTTTTTTATCGTAAAGCTGTGGCTGCTATTCCGTGCCAACGGAACTGTAACGTCCCATTTTAAACTAGTTATCTTAGAAATCCGTTTGAAAAGGATATCACTCACAGTATGAATTAATTGTTGTTTGTTAGCATTGTTATAAAAATAAACAAATTATATATTTTTTAAATTTATTTATTAATAAAAATATTTTTAAAATATAAATATTAAATATCAGACGTATTTGTTGGAAATGTAGAAAACGTATCTCAATGTTGTCAATTTTTAGGAAACAACTGAAGCTCCCGGACTGGGTTTACATAGGTAGAATGTTGGGGTACCCTTGTACTTGTTCTTAATGTTTTGAATTACCTTTTCAGCGGACTTGGAATAAACCTAAAATAATTAAATATGCATTCTATAGTTTGTGTTAACCGTTATAAATAAAACATTTATATAAGTTAAAAGACAAAGGGGTCTATTCTGTAACAATTCCTTTATATTTAACGGCCTTTAAAAATATTGGCGGCCTATAAAAAAATGTTCGTATTGGTTAATTTACTTCTATCATTATTTAAACAGATTTCTTTAAGATAGTCCTCTAATGTATTTTAAAGATCCGTTTAAATAGTGACCGAATTAAAGAAGAAAATATTTTTAAAGGCCGTTAAATATAAAGGAATTGTTACAGAATAGACCCCAAAGTCAGGTAAAAAAATCTACCAGAAATACAATAGAAGGAGAAAAACGAATCAATAATTGTTTCAAAACCTATTAAAAAATATCAAAGACGATCCTGTGCTCGCAAATGCAGATGTTCATTATTAGAATCTGTAAACAAACGTGTACGTGACAATAACAAATGTCTACGTGACAATAATCGCATTCGCCAAGCTGCATCAGCGCGAAAACACTCAAGGCCAACCATGGCACGTATGGATATGCGCATCTATCTTCACGAAAGAAACAGTTAGTTGGCTAGCAACCGTTGAACTATTCACATGGCAAAGAACGAATTACTAGGCCTTGGGCCTAGCTTTACAGCTACATACAATCATCTAGTTGTTGAAGGAAGATATCAGATAGCATTTGGAATGCTCAGAAGGTTTTCAAGATTGTCAGCGGGGAGATAATTTAAAAAAGTAGTTAATATTACAAACCAGTTATAAAAAAGTTGAAACTAGAAGAAATAAAGTTTGTAAAACTTAAAGGACGAGTATAATTTAAAAAAATATTTTTGGAAAGAAATAGAGGAGTATATAAAAAATTAAGACAAGGGAAAGGTGAAAAGAGCTGAGTTTTAAAAGAGGTGCAGTAACAAATAGAGTCAGGGCAAGTAGGTATAATAAAAAAGAGAAAGGGGAAGTGAACGGATAGGCCGACGGAATCAGAGAAAACTTAAAAGCAGAAAGACTAAGACAAGTAGAGAAGACAAAGAAGCATTTTCTTGTTACGTTTTTATTTTGAGGTTACCGCTGAATTACAGTATTTTTAGATATATAAATACGCATTGGCAGCGGTTAGGGGGCATCAATTAATTACGTGTAGTGTTCAAGGGGGAGAGGGGATCAAGCTAAATCTTTCCAAATCTAACTTGGGGGAGAGGGGGGTCTTTGTTGTAAATCTGACGTAATTTTTTTCTAGTAGAAAACGGTGTAAAATTGCGTGAAAGTAAAGTTAAATTAAAGTAAAGAATGTTTCTAAAAATTTTATATTACGGCAATATTCTCAAATACTAGTCTTTGCTTGTCTTAAATAAAAGTAATAGAACATATTGTGTTTTTGTTTTTTAATAATCCAAGGGGAGGGGAGAGGGAGTTGAGGAAAATATTACGAAACCTCACAAGAGTGGGAGAATGGGGCAAGAAATCCTCAAAAATACCTCAAATAATTAATGGACGCACCTTAGAACGTTGTTACTGTATACTACAGGTTGTAGGTTCGATTCCCACCTGGGGTGAATTTTTTAAATTTTTCTTTAATTTGTTATTACTTACCAATGTTACAGTACACCCTCCAAAACCTCCTCCAGTCATCCGACTTCCCAAGACACCTTCAACCTCCGTAGCTAAATCCACTAGACTATCTAACTCCGGACATGATACTTGGTAGTCATCCCTTAAGGAAATGTGGCTTTCAGTCATGAGCTTTCCGAATTTTACGAAATTTGATTGTTTCAACATTTCGGCGGCTTCCGTAGTTCTTTGTATTTCTGTGATGACGTGCCTTGCTCTTGTTACGATTTCTGGGTTTGCGTTTAACGATTGTAAATCTGAAAAAAATATATAATAATTAACATTAAAAATAAAATCAAAAATATTACAGCAACATAATTATTACATTGTTATTAGTTCAAGTTTCAAGTTTTCTTTATTCTAAAAATATCTTTATTGAAGTAAATGACCCTAATATACAAACAAATATAAAAGTTCAAAATACAAAATTCTAAAGTTACTAAATCACTTAGATGATCGATTAATCGATATCGAAAATAATTGAGAATAATCAATAAATCGAAATCGAAAATAATCAATTAATAGAAAATAATCGATTAATAAAAAATAATGGATTAATCGAAAAAATCGATTATTCGAAAAGAATCGATTAATCGAAAATAATCTATTAATTAGGTTACGCATTGTAACAGGGGTCCTTACCGAGCATTGCCGACTCAAAGGACACGTAAACTAAGAGTAGTAGAAGATAATAAGTGCAGATTCTGTAAGGAGAAAGACGAAACCTCCATTCACATTCTGACTGAACGTGTAGCACTTTAGAATTCAAGGGCACTATACCTAGAAGGATATCAAATAGAAGAGGGAGATTTACGTAACTTGAAGCCACTCCAAATCCTATACTTCCTTGAGAAGCTAGGAATGGAAGGGTCGTTATTGGCATCGAGACATTTCCTTGCTGCATTAGCGACAGAAGGAGGCATACAAAATCTTTAAGGTCGGTGTATTAACACCCCATTCCCAACATTACATTTATTAATAGTAAAAATATATTCATCGAAAAGAATACATTAATCGACAAGAATATATTAATGGAAAGGAATCGATTATTCGACAATAATCGATTAACCGGAAATAATCTATTATTTAAAAAAAAATCGATTATTCCAAAATAACCGATTTTTTTTAAATAATCGATAATCGATTATTTACATTGTTAATCGCCTGGCCCTAGTTATAACCTAACGTTTTTGGCTATCATTTTTAATTGAGTAATTGGAATATTTTTAATGATTTATAGAAATCTCTTAAAATCTACAAAAAAGTTTACTAAAACTAGCCAAAAAGCTGAAAATCTACCATAAGAAGTAAAAATCTACTAAAAGTGGCAACGTTGGATTAAAGGCTCCCAGTCAGAGTGACTTGACCAAGCGAAGTTGTCGTGTTAAATGACATCTACGTGCGATGCACAAAAATGGGCTAGAAATAGTGTGGTTTCAACAGGGCATACTGTTTGTTTCACGGATCTGTTGACCTTTCTTTTTAACTACAGGCAATTGCGGAAACTTCTTGCCTTCAATTAGCATATTGCATTCGCGACCAGCCATAGTGCAGTGACGTACCAAAAAACAGAGATTAACACGTACGAAAATAAAAATAATAAAATTGAAATTATATTTTTATTTCACATAAATATGTGATTTTAAAATATTGTGTTTTTATGGAATTTAACTGGATGTTCACTGCACGAATGAACTAATGGAGAATCCGCCCCTGATTTCTGGTAAACCGAAATCCATTGCAGTGATCTAAGCATGGTATACGTAGATAGGAGTATATTTGCTACATCTCAATGTAATCCTCATACCACGATTTTGCACTTTTTGTAACTGTGCCGTTTAGTTTAGGTCGAAAAAGAAGATGAACAATAATCAAAATGTGATCAAATAATTGAACGATAAACTGTAATTGTAGTTTTAGCTGATAGGTTTTTAATATTCTTGCAAAAAAGTTAAGTTTCTTAGATATTTTTTAATTAAATTAAAATGTTCACAAACAATAAAAAATTATCAAGTTGAAAGCCAAGGCATTTAGTTGATATTACAATATCAAATTTATCATCGTTAATTGTAAGATTAACTGCATTTAAATCTATACAGGGTGTTAAAAAAAAGTGTCACAAAATAAAACGGGGGGTAGTATGGGCCAAAATATGCAGAAAAGTCTTAATAAACATATGTCCGCAAATGAATGGTTTCAGAGATACGGAGTGTTTTGTGTTTTGTATCATTTTTTGATTATCTTTTTTCATTCTCAAAAACCTGCTTTTCTTATCGGAGTCTACCGATGTTTTTTCATAGATACTATTTGCAGTTATTATTTTGTTGTGGGTGAATAATTTTATAAATTTTCGTTATGCCTGTTTACACTAATATTGAATTAGCTGACATGCATAACGAAACCGTTAATTTGCGGTCATATATTTATTAAGACTTTTCTGCTTATTTTGGGTCATACTATTCACCATTTCATTTTGTGACACTTTTTTTTAACACCCTGTATATTTATATTTAGTAGTTATAGCTTTGGTTTTTGAAACATTAAGTTTAAGTTTATTATACATTAAATAATTACACAGCCACATAAAAATAATTTTCTCGGTTCTGGGGAACAGGCCTGTTTTCCATATGTTTTTTTACCCTATCACGTCAGGTTTTGCCATAACCTCAAAAAACCCAATATTTCAGCACTTTTTAACGCAAATTAGTCTGTGACTGAAACTATAAACACAAAAGCCAAGCCGCTAACTCCAAATCCTTAACCTTATAACCCCATAAACCCAATAATGCAATAGCCACATAACCTTAAAAAACGCTATAATTTACAGCCACACAAAAAAAAATTTTTCGGGTCTGAGGATCAGATCATGTTTCCTATATGTTTTTGAGATCGCTGAATTCGAATCCGGGATCCGTTTAACCCTATCACTTGAGTATTTTGCTATAACCTCAAAAAACACAATAATTGAGGCTTTTCAACACTTTTTAATGCATGTAAGCCTGTAACTCAAACTTTCCAAACACCCAATTTTTTTTTTTTTTGGGTTATAGCAAAACACTGACTTGATAAGGTTAATCGTACGCCAGATTCAAATTCAGCGACCCCAAAAACATATAGAAAATGGTCTGGTACACAGACACAAAAAAAATTTTTGTGGCTGTGAATTATGGCGTTTTTTTTAAAGGTTATGGGGTTATTGCATTATGGGATTATAAGTTTATGGGGTTATAAGATTAGGAATTTGGAGTTAGCAGCTTGGCTTTTGTGTTTAAAGTTTGAGTCGCAGGCTTATATGCGTTAAAAAATGCTGAAAAACCTCAATTATTAAGTTTTTTGAGGTTATGGCAAAACCCTGAGGTGATAGGGTAAAATGGACCGAATGCAGCGATCCCAAAAACATATAGAAAATACGGTCTGATCCCCAGACCAGAAAAAAAATTTTGTTGCAGGGTTTCCAAATTATTAACACAACAAGCCGTTAAAGAATCATCTGCAAATATTTTTTTGTAAATCAACAAAGAGGTTTAAATCATTTATATATAAGATAAATAAAAGTGGTCCTAAGACGCTACCTTGAGGTACACCAATGTTAATATAATTTTCAGCAGTTACTCTTTGTTTTCTTCCAAATACATAATTAGTAAACCAATTTAAAACACAACCATTAATGCCATATCCAGTAAGTTTCTTTAAGAGAATATTATATTCTATTGTTTCAAAAGCTCTTTTTAAATATAGAAATCCTGCTACTACATAGTTATTTATTGTCTACCTCCGTTTTAAATTTACGTAAGGAGAGTTGCAGAGCTGCTTCACAAGAGTGTTTTTTGCGGAATGCAGATTGGTTTAAAAATAAAATAAAATTGTTTTCAATATGTTGAAGAGTTTGTTCATATACAACTAATTCAAGCACTTTTTCTATAGGTGGTAAAGTATTTACAGGTCGCAATTTAGAAGCATTTATTGTATTACTTTAGAAATCGGAACTATTGTACTTACTTTTAATGAATCTGGTACTGTTGCAGTTAAGAGAATTATTAATTAGATTTAAGACAATATATGATCACTTTCAACATTTGGGCAGTAAGAATTTCATAAATACTACATTTATTGTCAAACGTGTTTACAATTACCTACTCTCAATTATTCACTCAATGATAACAACTGAAAATTTGAAAATTGAGGAATATAGATTGTAGTTACACAAATTTCCTGTTATTTCAGTTACTATTTGAGTAATGCTATTTTTATAAAATTTATTAAATTTACCTGCAATTTCAGTAACATTATGTTTAATTTGGCATTCATTATTTAAGTTAAATTCAATGAAATTTGGAAAATTTTGACTGTTAGCAACTTTTTAAGAGTTTTCCACATTAGTCCAGAATTATTTTTGTTTCTAACAATCTTATTAAAATAATATTTTTCTTTTTTCTAGTAAATTTCCAACTTCATTCCTTAATTTTTTAAATGCTTTCGATTTTTCATTTTTATCAGCCCCAGGAGTGATCTGAAATGCTTTATAAATTTTATCCCTATCTTTTATTTTATAAAGAATGTCGTTATCAAACCATGGAACATTACTTTTATACTGACAAACGTTTGGCAGTTCTTAAAAAGTTCTTCGTATAATATAATATTTACATCAATAGAATTTAAATTCCAATTACATGATATTAAGCCCAGTTTAATTTAAGTTAGTTTCACTAAATTTTCTGTACATTTTAGTGGTTATATTTATGGCGTTGTTATTACTAATATCAGATATTATAGAATGGTCACTAATTTTGGGAGTATGATGATTATTATTAACCAATACTATGGAAGGTATCGTATAACTAAGCAGATATGCTGAGTGTGATCCCTTTCATAACAAAAAAAACAATAGGTATGATTATTTGAAAAATACAAAAAAATTAAAAAATGGGTCATGGACTTCGACCTATTCAAATATTGTGTACAATATGTTGTTATGCGTGTTATGTTACCATAATTTACAACATTAAACTGACGAATATGGTTGTAATATATGAGAAAATTCTCATCAAGCTCGTCAACCATTTAAACCACCATGGAAGTTTTGCGAGTTTGTAATTGAAGATAAATATATTACAAACGAGTAAGTACTAGAGGTTATTAAAATTATATCTGAAATAAGCTGTAGAAGATAATTTTATCATAAATTTTGCCACGAACTGGCAACAACGCTTTACGTATTGGATCATCCAAACCGCTTTTAGCACTGAAAGACAATTATTGGATAAAGTTACTTTTTTTAATAAAGCCACTGGATAAAACCAAAAGGAAAGACTATTGTAGTAATCCATAATTCTTTAATTGTTTTATCCACTATTGTTACATGATTATATTATTATTATATTTTAACTTACAGCTATCAAAATACCTGAGTTTGTAATTAATTAAAAAAATATCAATTTTTTTTTAATTATATGTATTTTTGTTTATTTATTTTTTTGTATTATTTTTTGTTTCTATTTTTTTTTTGTTGGATACAAGTTTATGATTAATTAACGAATAATAAACAAAATTTAGATTTTAAGTATAATACTTACACTTAATGTCTTCCAAATTTGCATCCCTCAAGCTAACTTTTTTTAATATTAATGCCGCCTCTTCGCATTGTTTCCTTCTGGTTGGGTATTCGCTGCCTGTAAGTTCGTGTTTTACGTTAGAATTCGTTATTAAAACCACAACGTTGTCATCGTTCAATGGTATGTGGGACGATGTGAGGTGTCTAAAAACAAACCACCAAAATATCCATTATAAAAGATACCGAGATTGACATAGATTGACATAGCTATACTCAGTAAAAGTAAATCATAATACAACCCACAATATCTTCTGAGGCTGGTATGTCTTTTTATTACAAGAGCACTGAGAATTAGATGACAGCCTCTATAAAAATCATTCTGAACCTCCCACTCCTTGATCTAGTCTTAAAGGGGAAGGCTAGAATGTGTGCATATAGACTGAGTATATACAACAACTGGATTCTACTGGATATAAGGATATAAGACTAATCAGTATAGTGCTCAAGCAACGTTGTGGCTTCCTTAACGGATCACGCCATCACGCACAACAGAGAATGACAATAACAGCTAGCAGAGGCCCGCAGGTGAAAGGCCATAACAGGGTTTTTTTTTCGCGAAGCTTTGAATATTGTGTGATTCCATGCATACCGGGGGTACTACAATTGTTCTATTATTTATTTCGATGAGACCTACATATAATTAAGATCGAGCTTCACTTAAGGTAAGTTCGTTTGATCTTTTAATTTCATCAGCTACACGATAAAAGAAGAAGACAACATGTGGGATCTCGACACTAGAATGGATGTTGCAGTTGAACCATTGATTATCAACTTGAATAACAGCAATGGCGATTATAAAGGGTGTTAAAAAAAAAGTGTCACAAAATAAAATAGTGAATAGTATGACCCAAAATAAGCAGAAAAGTCTTAATAAATATATGACCGCAAATTAACGGTTTCGGAGATACGGACCATTTTGTGTTTATAACAATTTTTTATTATTATAAAAAAACAATGATATTTATAAACAATCAATAACAACATAGAGTTAAATGAGATGTTCAAATACTGACGTAGCGCTTCCCTCGCATTGCCATTTGCACGACCGTACATAAAATGCATGTCAGCTAATTCAATATTAGTGTAAACAGGCATAACGAAAATTTATAAAATTATTCACCCACAACAAAATAATAACTGCAAATAGTATCTATGAAAAAATCATCGGTAGACTCCGATAAGAAAAGCAGTTTTTGAGAATGAAAAAAGATAATCAAAAAATGATACAAAACACTCCGTATCTCTGAAACCATTCATTTGCGGACATATGTTTATTAAGACTTTTCTGCATATTTTGGCCCATACTACCCCCCGTTTTATTTTGTGACACTTTTTTTTAACACCCTGTAGTTATTCGTCATCGGATGAGTTTTATTTATTTATTTATTTATTACATAATCCTCTGCTTATTAATAATCCTCTGCCGATTTTCAAGTCGAACAAAAAACTAGCCTACCCTAAACCTTTTGCGATATTTTCCGTACGCCACTGCAAGAGACAGATTAACGCAAACACGTCACAATCATTTCTGAGAATTTAATGCTTACTATTTTGGAATTCTAGTATAGTTTCTTTTGATAGAAGGAGTGAAACTGTTAAATGTGAGTTGTTTTAATCCGTTAAGAGACGTTGCATCCGGTTGTATCACTCGCATCGCGCTGAGGCACCGCTCTCCCTGCAAAGTAGCAGGGGTCATCTGCAAATTAGTATTTCCGTATACTTAAACAGTAATTTTATTTAACTCCTAAATTTATTAACAATAAAAGAGTCAAACACAAATAAATGCAATAATAAAGTTTGTGAGCGAACAATTTAATTAGCTATGGACGAGCCGGAACTGTACAATTCGAATAGGAATAATACGGTTTTTCTCCATCATAATAAATGTGCACTATAATTATTGTATCGGCGTAGTACCAGCAGCCCATAGTGAATCGCTGGACGATTGCCATATGGTTACCGACGTCAACGTGTAGATCGCGAAGTAAGAAATTATGTATTTTGGATACATGCGTTGACGCCGTTGGTGGGCGCAATTCAGTCAGCCCTGAGCCCATCTGGCGATCGCTTTGTGGTTTGTTTTGCTATGTTGATCTAGTGTCTTATTTATTTATCTTCGTAATAATTATTTATCATGAAAGTAACGGAATTAAAAAGCCTCGTATGCAGCCGCTTAAGTTTAAATGATTTTTGGTATTGATTTTTTGGTATCCTTATACTCAGTCCTCCCTATTAAACAAGTCACGAGCCGTGTTTGAAAGTTAAATAAATAGTATGTAAAATTCTAGTGTATGCTCTTAATTCAAAATCATTAGAAAATAAGTGAATATACAAACGAATACAGTTTACTTAAAGAAGAAATAGATAATTTACAGAACTACCCAATCTACACCAATACATATTTGTTATAATACAATAAAAACATTAAATATTGTTATTGTAAATCCTCCCAAGTGTTGTAGATAATTTAAATCAGCTCGTTAACAAGTGTCTATAAAAATTTCAAAAATATGGAGTGTATTTAACAAAGAATACAATTTAATGAGCCACAACTTTTTAAAACACCCTGTATTGTTAAAATTGATTTCCGATAACATCTTAATAAAACTTATTAGATTATTTACTTACCTACAATCTATTAAGAGAGCATTATCTTTTTTGCCCAAAAATGAAATAAATTGGTCCATAATACCACACGGCATCCCAGCGTAATCGTGTTCTGCTTTTTGACAAGCCAATGCCTTTTGTGTAAGCCTAAATAAAATATATTAATTTCTTAATATATCCTTAAAAATTGGTATGTTTTTTTAAGAAATTAAATTACAGTAAATAAATACTTACGAAATTGCTTCATTGGTGTTTCCTACCAATTGATCCAGAAATAAATAAGTAGCGACCTCTAACGACGCACTACTAGATAGACCTCCGCCAATGGGGACGCTTGTATGTATTACTGCGTTAAAACCAGGTGGAATACTACCTAAATAGTTTACAATAACGCCTAAAAAAAAATATGAATATCGGTTGAAAAATTTGCTTATTGTCACGCTTTATATAAAGTCATATTTTCCAAATGAATTCGTTACTAAAATAACACTTTGGGTATAAATGTCGTTCAATTTAGAATGGAAAATAAGGACCAAAACAATATTACTACTAGGTTGTAAGTTTAACCAAATTCAATTTTTATAAATCAACCTATACTTTTTTGACATAAAATTCCAATAATAATGTATATTATTAATTTTAAAACAAAAAAAGTTTATTTTTATTAGTTTTCTTTTCTCAACTGGTGACATAATGCATTTTTCGAAACCAGTTTCATAATATTCAACATTATGCAACTGGTTGCGTAAAGTAGATTATTTTGACACTTCATGCGATTACAAAAATATCACTTTATATGTCAAAATTAGAAAAAAGCTATTAGGTCACCAATTGCAAAAATAAAAGAAAACATAAAAATAAACCTTTTTTTTAAAGTGTACATCAAAGAAGGGTGGTTGACTTATTACAATAGAATTTAGTTAAACTTACAACCCAATTATAATGTTGTTTTGGTCCTTATTTTCAATTCTAAATCAGCACAATACACGACACAATAATCCATTTTCTTAAAATCTAAATAACTTTAACAAGCAATATAAACACACTACAATAAGTCGTTGAGAATAAATGAATATGTTTTTCTATTTGTCAATAAAAGAATAAAGTTAAGATTATGCAACTAACAATACAAGAAAGTAGTAATATTGGTTGCCTAGATGTCAGAAATTTTTTACCAAAAAACAAAATATAAATAAGTACCTAATTTGGTCAAAAATAGAAAAAATATTGTTTTTTTTTGTGTGGTTGTTGGCATTGGATGGATTCCATTTGCCACAGATGCGTAGTAGAAAAAGAAAAATGGAATAAAATAATCAAATTTGGAGTTATAGGAAAAAATATTGTATGTAGCATGTTATACGAAATGTCGTTTTATGTAACTCGTTAATGTTGCGGGACTTCGCTCTGCTCGTCTGCAAATATTCACTTGTTACATAAAATAAGGCTTTTCGTAACTGGTTTCATAAATAGCTATTAAATATTACGAACTCGTAAACAAATTTACATGATTCATAAATTTTTAATTTATTACTAAGATTTTTACCTTTTATGTACATTGCCCATTTTGGTCCAACGCGCGCTATTGCTCTTATTAGTGCCCCTTCATTTGGAAGTTCAAATGTGGTTTTTTGTGCTTCTTTTAAAAATTCCGTTGTGGTGTACAATGATACATTTTGTCCTACATTTCGTTTGCCTACTATAACAGTCACTAAGGGAAGAGCCTAAAATTGTTAAAACATTTTTTATTATTAAAACTGATTTATTTTTAGGTATTTGTAGCTAAATGTTTAATTTTAATTTAAAAATTTTCACAATACCCATCTATAAATTGACACATTTTAACAACTTATAACTCGAGAACCGAAAAAGATATCGACATGCAGTTTTCAATAGACTTCATATATGTACTTCAAGTTGGTGTATTTAGACGACATCATAGTCTTGGGGAAGACACTTGATGAACATCTAAAGAACTTAGAGAAATTAGAGCTATTTCAAACTGAAGTTAATTACCTGGGTCATATAGTCAGCAAGCATGGCGTGGCTCTAGATAAGGAAAAAGTCGCTTCCATAAAACAATGGCCACAACCAACTGATAAACATCAAATAAGAAGTTTTCTTGGACTTTCTACGTACTATCGAAGATTCATAAGGAAGTTGGCAGATATTGCCAAGCCATTAACATCGAGAGAATTATGCTGGGACGAAGATTGCCAAACTGCCTTCGAAACATTAAAGAAGCATTTAACAACAGCGCCAATACCAAAGGGAGAATTTATTCTGGATGCTGATGCTAGTAATGTGGGAATTGGAGGAGTGCTTTCACAGATTCAAGAAGGGAAAGAAATAGTACTGGGTTATTTTAGTAAAGTACTCCCAAAACATGAGAGAAATTACTGCGTCATGAAAAGAAAACTTCTGGCAGTTGTAAAATGTGTAGAACACTTCTACCGATACCTACATGGAAGAAAATTCCTAATCCGGACCGATCATGTGGCTCTTAAGTGGCTGATGCAGTTCAAGAACCCGGAGGGCCAAATCGCCAGATGGATCAAACGACTTTAAGAGTACGACTTTAAGATCGAACAGGGATAAGTCACAGAAATTCTCTTTCTAGAAGACCGTGCTCAGCAGAGTGATCTCTATGCAACAGATCAGAATCCAAAGATAGTGGACTACTAAGAACAACTTCAACGTGGGCACCTGCCAAACTTAGGGAAGAACAAAAGAACGATCCCATTTTAAAGAAGATGCGACAATGGAAAGAGGAAAAACGTCATCCTGGAAGAAGGTTTATTAAAGTAAATATTAGAAAATGATGATGGTTCCGAAAATCAAAGAAAGTTCGTCATTCCAAAGACAAGAGTAGCCGACGTACTTCGTCAGTTACACATCTCGGTGTTAAGAAACCCCTTTAGAGAGTTTGTGAAAGGTTTTATAAATACATGATGGTGGTTATGGATTATTTCACGAAGTGGGTGGAAGTCTACGCCATTCCAAATCTAGAGGCCGCAACTGTTGCAGACGTATTAATAAAAGAATTTATTAGTCGATTTGGCGTGCCCTTGGAGATCCACATTGACCAAGGCAGAAATTTTGACAGCCATCTGTGAGAGACTAGGCATGAATAAAACCAGAACTACGTCATTGCATTCACATTCGGCCGGCATGCAGCAGTATATCGTAGGGAGCCCATTCGAGAGAATCGCCACAGATGTGATGGGACCTCTACCAGAAAGCGAAGCTGGTAAGAAGTACATCGTCATAATAATGGACTACTTCACCAAGTGGGTAGAAGCCTATGCAATCCCCAATCAAGAAGCTGCCACCAAAGCCGATATCTTGGTGAAGGAATTCATCAGCCGGTTTGGAGTGCCCTTGGAACTACATTCAGATCAAGGAAGAAACTTTGAAAGCAAGCTTTTCCAAGAATTTTACCATAAGCTGGGGATCCGAAAGACTAGAACAACGGCGTTACATCCGCAGTCAGATGGAATGGTGGAACGCTTGAACAGAACCTTGATCAGGCATTTGTCGAAAGTCATCTTGGATCATCAGCAGGACTGGGACGAACACATTTCATTTTTCTTGATGGCATACCGATTAGCTGTGAATGAGTCTTCAGAACAAACACCGACGAAAGTTCTTTTCGATCGAGAAATTGGGCTGCCATGTGATCTGGTATTTGGTTGCAAGCCTGGTGAAGACATCACCGGAAAAGATTATGTATCCGATCTCCGGAGAAAGATGGAAGATATCCATGAACTGGTTCGGACTAACCTGTAATTGGCCAGCAACCGAATAAAGAAGTTCTATGACAGCCGAGCCGAAGAGTCCTGCTACAAAGAAGGTGACCTCGTCTGGCTTTACAATCCAAGTAGAAAGCGAGGTTTATGTCCAAATTTACAGAAGAACTGGGAGGGTCCATATGTCGTCAAGAAGAAGATCAATGATGTAATCTATCGAATATTTAAAACTCCCAGAGGAAAGCCGATTGTAGTCCATTCTGATCCGCTAGCACCATATGCCGGGGACCACGATGGAGGTGCGCAGATACAACGACTACTAGGTGAAGAGCATTCCAACTTCGAAAACTTCGTGAAGGCCTACGGAGGAACCAGAAGGGTAAGACGTGGTGTCGTTGAAGAAGTCGAACAAGATCTGTTCCGGTTGCCCGAGGAATACTCCCTATCATAACACATCTGCCAACCTTGACGTTGCACATGGTTTAGCCAATACTTTCAAGAACAAGTATGGTGGTGAAATGGAGTTAAAGAGACAGCATCCAGCAGTAGGAAATGTCCTGAAGGTTCAAGATGGTCGACGGGTTATTTTCTACCTGATTACCAGAAGTACATCCTACCCACAACCATCTTATGAAACCCTCTGGAAGGTCCTGTACCAGCTGAAGGATTAGGTTCTGAAGGTCAACCTGTCCAAGTTAGCTATGCCGAAATTGGACTGCAGTCACACTGGTTTGAATTGGAGGATTATTCGGAATATGGTTGAGGAAATCTTCAAAGGAACAGTTATAGAAGTTCTGGTCTGTAGTCGCCCCAATCGGGAACCTGGACTGAAAACAGTCCCCTGCTACTTCCATAAGACCTCTTTCTGCAAGAAGGGTACCAACTACCGTTACTGTCACAATCCTGACAGTGAAAGTATTCCAGAAGGAATGCATCTAAGGAGGGGGCGGTGTAACGGATGAGCTTCCCAGTAGCAGGCCTCGACCTTTTCTCTGGTGACAGCGAACATAAAAACGAAGCGGTCAAGTTGACGGCTGGATTTTTGGGGGAAAAGTCAGTGAGAGCAGAAGATAAATTGCAAAATAAATATTCAAAGATAAATATCCTTTTTTTGAGTTCCATTTGTAAAAGTTTAGTTAGTAATTAGTTTTCGCGTTATTTTGTTGATTATTATTTGTATGTGTAGTTTTAAGAAATAAATGGTTTCCACCCACACTCGTGTTACATGAATATGACAACTGGCAAATACCTATCAAAAGTGGTTTCCAACCATCAATCAGCGTGATTGGGATCAGGGCTGGAACTCTGTGTCATGTAGAATTCTATTTATCGCTTTCTACAATAGATTATTTTGTGGCAATCTGTGTAACATAGCGGAAAACCGACGAGTATATACTTACTACAGGATAACTAGTTTCATAAGAAACCACATTGCGATATTTCCCGTGCGGTTGATAACGTATTTATCACAAGAGAAAGTAATCGATTCCATTGTAGAAAGCGATAAGTAGAATTCTACATGACACAGAGTTCAAGCCCTGTATCTTACACTCTTCGCAATGGCATATAGATCTGCTGTCAATGAATATACAGTCCAAATACCAGCAAAGATGATGTTCGGGCGTGAGACCTCGAGATTGGATGCCGAACTGGAGAAGACAGCCGGTCAAGATTATGTGATCCAGCTACGAAGTTATTCCACTCGCATCTTCAAATCGCCAGCGACAGAATGAAGAAACGATACGATACCCAAGCCATATAAGGATGTTTTAAGGAAGACGACAAAGTCTGGCTCCATAACCCAAAAATACGAAAGGGTTATTTTCCGAAGCTTCAAAGGTCTTGGAAAGGTCCATACCTCATCAAAAAAAAAAAATAATGATGATATTTACCGTATAAGTAAGATCCCAAAAGGTAAACCGAAGGTAGTACACCAAAACCTACTGATGCGATTTGAAGGTGACCATGACGAGGAAGAAGAAGTAAACCAGCTCCAAGAAATACCTGACCTTGTCTTTTGAAGAATTTATGGGTAGATATGGAAATACCGGAAAAGCAAAATATGGTGTTACAACCGAGCAACAACAAAATCTGCTCACGGTTTTTAAAGACTACTCACTGGTCAATAGCACTTCCGCCAACATCAACAACGCTCGAGGTCTGGCATCTGTGTTCTGAAAGAAATTTGGTCGATTGCCAGAACTTCCATATCAATTACCAGCCTCTGGAAAGGCATTGAAACTTAAAGATGGATCGCGTTACCTTCTCTATTTGGTAAGAAAAAACACCTTCCGAGATCGATCCACTTTTCATGATATATGGGAAGCATTACTTAGTATGACGGAGCACGTACTGGGGTCCAATGTATAGAAACTAGCCATGCCCAAGATACATAGCAACCAGCTAAATTGGAGCATCATTAAAAACATAGCGAAAGTAATCTTCCATGTTTCAGTGAAAACCGTCCCTTGTTATTTCCATGCAAATGAAAAATTGTTAAAAGAGGGTCCAGTTGCAGATACAACCATGCAATTTCAGTAACAGTTCCAGGAGGTACTGTCTCGTAAGAAGGAGGTTGATGTCGTGTAACCACCTTAAGCCAACGCTGTTCGGTTTATATTTCAATGCCGCAGGATAGAGACAAACGCACTCTTTCGTGAAGCTGCCAGAGAAATCGTTGCGCGTCGAGTCATATAGGAAGACATTCCAGAGTTTCTAGACCATCGGGAATATACTAGTGCAGAGCTGACTTTATATAAATAGCGCGAATTTGTCGGTAGACGTTAATTTTTTTTAATAAAGTGTTGTATAGTAAAGATAAATTGTAATGAATAAATTAGAATTGTAAGTTATAATAGTGCCTAAGTATTAAATAAATTTTTATGTTTGAGAGTTGGCAACCATGTTAAAAAAAAACTAAACATTTTCAAGAATTTTCATGAAAACCGCTTATCAATACATTGTCTCACTCTCGA